GGGGGAACGTTGGTTTCCTCTGTCACTGAAGCAAGCAAGCCTCATGTTAGATTCAAGCTGCCTGGCTGCCGGCCGCCATCTTGGCTGGCAGTTAATTTGCATATCTCGCTGATTAGCCAATGGGAAGGGTAGCGGTCGTACGCCAATTACCACGTTTCTCTTTTATTAGATAGGATGTTTATCTAATGGTGTCTTTTTTTCAAATAAAATATCCCTAGGAACATAGATAGCACTCTTTGGGTTATTCTTTTATAGAGGACTTACATCATGTTGGCACTAAATAAAACCTTAGGAACTTCATCACTTTCTTCGTATTGTATGTCTCTACCGTAATTCTAAACACACACCCCCAACCCCGCCTGGGACCCTATCACTTCCTCCCACAAATCTTCATGGGCAGGAAGTCAGTGTGTGACAATGATAGGCTCTCTCATTTACTTTAAGTCAAATCTGAGCCCTCATTCTGCCCCCCTCACACCTTGTCCGTGCTCCCAGGCAGCGGCTAGGCTGCACTTCAGGGTGCAGAGCTTTGGACATTAGTAGGTGTCACAGAGGAAAGACCTATCTTTGCTGGAGTCAGTGAGTCCCCATCGTGGGACCTGGAGGCATCCAGGCCAACACAAAAATGCTGGGGTGAGGATTTGAGTTCGGTTAAGGGGCATCATTCTAGAAGAGCTCTAGCCTTCTATGGAAAGACTGTATTTTTGCAACAGATATTACTACTAAAATATCTCTGTAAGGCGTTCACCTGGTGATTTCTAGTACCATCTACCAGAAGACTTACAAATAGCAAAGCCTTTGGCACCTGCATTTGCAACTCATACAAATTAAGTTATCTGAAAAGCTTAATGTAAAAATTGGAGTCTTATGCCCTGAAGTCCTTGCTAACACCTATCAATGAAACTACACTACAGATACGTATCCAACATTTGAGCCAATGTAAGATATCAACCTGTTTCCTTCTTTCTTTCTCAAAAAATGTCATCACGCAGGGCAGACTGACACTGTCCATTCCTTTCTGCTGTCCTTACCCAGGCCTGTGGCTCATACTATTGCACCCAGGGAGAGAAGGTGTTATGAAATTTCCAGATGGTCCTATGTGGCTTTAATACTTTGGTAATGGAAGAAGGGCTAAATTTACTATCTCCCTAGATTTTATATAGTCTGTAGGTAAAAGTCAGGAGTAAAATGTTTTTTAAAAAATTGTACATATACTTACCACAGCGCCAACTCCATAGCTAGCGGCAGGGGCAAGGGCATGGTAGGGGTCAGCTGTGTACACCCTGCCATAACTGGAAAGGAGAAATACAATCAGGGAGAGAAAGAAAAGATAGTAACCCCCCAAATGAAAGGGTTTACTGTGCTAAGGACTGGTGAGCGTCTTGGTCTTAGAATGATTATTAGGAAATTGGCAGAATGGAAAAAGCCTTTAGATTCCTATTCTTAAATATAGTACTCGGAAAAATTCTGAGGTCTTCTCTAAGATGGAGAAGAAGGGAGCTGCAGGTGACAAAGAGGGAGACTGCGGTGAAAGGAGGCAGCGCCACGGCTTTTGGCATGACAGGCCACGAGGAGAAGGCCAGGCCTGTGGGCAGCCCCAGGCAGTAGGTGCCGTTTTGGAAGCGGGGAAGGGTGGAGAGGCAGTGACACTCGGGACCATGTACGTACCCGTCGCTGTAAGCGGCGGCAGCGGCTGCAGCAGCCGTGGCTGCGGTTGCAGTAGCAGGCTGTGCATATCTGTAGGCTGCATATCCGGCCTACAGGAGAGAAGAGAACTGACTTTACAGCTACCTCTCCCCCCGGAAGCACAGATGAACACACACCCACCCACACGAGACAGACAGACAGACACAGGGAGACACAAACACAGACACACACATGGGAAGAGGATGTTTCAAACTGCATCGGTCTACATGTTACTCCCCTAGTGCAAGAGTAAGCTCCACCCTGCACAGGGACTCGCTGTCCAATTTGTGACAGTAACAAAAATAAACCATCTTGGTAGGACCTGTTCTCAAATTTAAGAAATGAAGATATGAATTCTGATCTGTCTGGTTTCAGTCTCTGCTGGAACTTTCAGCAGGGAAAATATTCATAGGAAGTTGGGAGAACTTTGACTGACAGGAAGTATCAATTAGAGAATGAAAACATTAAATGAATGTGTGTTACCGTCCAATTCCCTGATGCATATGCAGACTCTTATTGCTAAGAGTCTGCAGCAGATAACAAAGGCCCCGTATAGCTATGCCCCATCGACCTAGCATGCTTGCCCAGAGGGTGAGAGTGGAGGCAGTATTTAGGAGGAAAAGCCAGGGTAGATCTGGGGTGGCAGACTTCAGCCTGTGAACCCAGGGCACTTGTCACCTGTTTTTGAAAGTAGTTGTGACAGAGACTGTCTGGCCGACAATATTGAGCACTTGGCCCTTTACAGAAAAAGCTTGCTGACTCCAAGCTATTTCAGGCTCAGGTAAGTCAGACTACAAATGGCTGACTCCCTTTTGGCTGGATTAGGATAGACTGAGAACTGCCCACCCCAAGCATTTAATTGCATTTACTCTCCTTCCCTCTAAGATTATGGATTCTCAAGTCCTGATCATATCGCAGGCTGCAGTTTTTCTACTAATGGCTCAAATACCCTCAGTCCTAAGGAGCTGCTACTTCGCCTCAGTCTTGAAGGTTCTCACTGCTGGGTAAACCCCATGAAGTCCAGAAAGGAGCGCAAAGGTAACCACACAATGCCACACGAGGCAGACTGTTGCAGTGGCAAGCCCGACCTTTGGTTACTTCTTTAACCTTCTAGAATTCGTCTATTTTTTAAAAAAAATATTTTTATTGATTTTTTACAGAGAGGAAGGGAGAGAGATAGAGAGTTAGAAACATCGATGAGAGAGAAACATCGATCAGCTGCCTCCTGCGCATCTCCCACTGGGGATGTGCCTGCAACCCAGGTACATGCCCTTGACCGGAATCGAACCTGGGACCCTTCAGTCCACAGGCCGACGCTCTATCCACTGAGCCAAACCGGTTTTGGCGAATTCGTCTATTTTAACCAAACGTAATTCAGGTATGAATTTTCATTGCTGCCGACCCCTATCAAATATGACTATGCTCAACTGGCCCATTCTGACACCACTTCAGGAGTGACGACAGCACATTTGGTTTCTGCAGGTTAGCAGGTCCATTTCTCATGGACATCTGAAGCTTCCTGCCCTGTGCTTTCTAATTTCTATTGCCTTAAATGTTCAAGTTTTGTTAAGTCTACACAAGGAATTACAAATTCCGTTTGGTATCATTTCTTAGGATGGATAACAAGTGTTTTCTAATGGGAGTCTTGCTCTCCTTGGCCATCTGACGTGGCAGCTTCTAGCTGGCTGCTTTTATTTCTGTCCAGATCTTACTTTGGACATATCTACAGTTCCTTACAGGCCCCTAGCGCTCTCTGCTTCCTTCTTCTGTAATGTGTGCTTTCCCTAACTGAGGACATGGCACTGAGGGGCATTTACTCTTGCTCTGTAGATTCATTTGCCTGAGTCAGATAGCTTCAAATGTGCACTTTAAAATCCCTGATTGGCTTTCAGTGGTTATGTATTATTCCTTCTTTGTTCTTCAAAGGAATGACTTAGAAAAGTAAAAATTTATTTCTCAGTTACAGATTATCCTACAGATTAAGAAAATTCTGCCCGGCCAGTATGACTCAGTGGTTGAGTGTTGACTTATGAACTAGGAGGTCATGTGCCAGGGTTGTGGGCTGGATCCCCAGTGTGGGGTATGCAGGAGGCAGCTGATCAATGATTCTCTCTAATCATTGATGCTTCTCTCTCTCTCTCTCCCTCTCCCTTCCTCTCTGAAATCAATTATATATATGAAAATTCTAATTAATATTAGCAAGCACTGGCAATGAGAGGACATGGCAGGAAGCACCTCGGGGCTACTTTCAGTCAACATGCCTCCTTTCCTTCTAGTCCAGGGGTGGGCAAACTTTTTGACTCGAGGGCCACAATGGGTTCTTAAACTGGGCCGGAGGGCCGGAACAAAAGCATGGATGGAGTGTTTGTGTGAACTAATATAAATTCAAAGTAAACATCATTACATAAAAGGGTACGGTCTTTTTATTTATTTATTTATTTTATTCATTTCAAATGGGCCGGATCCGGCCCGCGGGCCGTAGTTTGCCCACAGCTGTTCTAGTCAGTTCTGTGGGAGCCGGCAGGCAGGACCCAGCTGCAACCTATACACATCACATCATTTATAAACTAACTCAAGTTTCTCTTTATTTTTTTTAACTTCTAAAGGAAATAAGGCAGCAAAAGCATTTGTTAAGGCAACAAGCTAATACTATTGGAATATTAGGCTTTGAATGAACCTTAAAGGCTCAGTTTCCATAATAATAGGAGACTCCATCAGTGCAAAACTAATGTTTGTACTATAATGTGTGCAGCAGGGTTACCTTTGCTAAAACTTCTTTGTGAACCAGGATAATGTGGTAAAGAAGCATTACGTGGTTTGTCTCTAGTATTCTTTCAAACACCAAAATAATCTTTAAAAAGTAAAACTAAAAGTCAAGGTAATAAAAGCAGTTAAAGCCCCAAATTTGTTTACTTGAATGGAAGATTAAAAACTGAAGTTCTAAGACATAGGGCTCACGGTACTATAAGTAAGGTTCACTAAAGACAGAGATAGTGGGGAGTACATCATATCAGTACAGCTTTGAGGGGCACCGCACTATTCTGGAAAAAAAGAGCTTCTGAATGAGATTTCCAATAGAACAATTCCCCTCAGAAGCTATAAGAACCTCGATGTTTTGGGGTTATTGTTATTGTTACTCCAAAGGGATCAGACTGTGGGAAGAAGCTTCCTTCCACGCCAGAAGGAGGACAGAATCCACCTGCAGTAGTTTCCTTCGATTGAAAGCGAATCTGACTTTGGAGTCTGCATTTGATGGGGTTCTCTGCTATTCAAATTCAGGAAACAGGGCAGGGATGCAAATATTTTATTAACAAGAAAAGGCTCAAGAAAGATATTAAGAAAAATTATATTAATATTTTTCTTAAACATCACTACTCTCTTAATTACTTTATGATAATGGTGCAACTGGGAGGTCTTTTACAGAGGGGGTCTGTGCTTAGGATGGGCAGGTAATATCCTAATAAGCAAATTTGGTAATTCATGATGATTGCCGCAAAATTAGAAAAATTGAATTTTGTATCATGGATTTACTCTTCTTATAGGTAGTCTTACTCCAAAGTATTTCTGCTCCTGCTTTAAATTGGTTGTTGAACGAACTGTATCACATAATATAAAACAGGACAAAGAAAATCCAGATATTTCTATTCCAAATTAGGAGCGAATAAAGATTCCAGGCTGATACTTTCCTCAGTTTCACTTCTACTAGCAAATCTGAAGTCTTTTATAGAACATGAGAACAAAGTGCAGTTTGAAACACCACCGTTTTCATTACTGTCTCTTAAGTTTTCCAAAAGAACAAGGGTAGGGAAGTGGGTAGGAGAGACAGGGCTCAGGCGTGGGGAGGGGATATGGCGCCACATTTATTAATCACATTAAGAACTAAGCATGCCAACATCTGGAGCTAAAACAACCAGCAAATCACCACGTTCAGACTCAGATTGGCTAACTCTATCTATCCCAGCATTCTCTTGGGACAGCGGTTTGCCCTAGGCTACCACAAGCTCGGTGAAGTACAGCCTCAATTACTAGAGCGTGCAGCCACAACGACCTGGTATTACGGAAACAGTCAGTCACCACTTGAGTTAACATTCCAGACCCTAACGACTGGCCCCTCCCCAGCCCAAAGAAAAAGGAAATCTTGCCCACCCTAGCCCTGGCCCACACCACAATGTTAATAATTATAACAAGCAGTAACCCATCTGTTATATCAGAGAAGGGAACAGAGACTCCACTGAGAGATTTAGAGTGAGATGTTAACATTTCTTCAGCTGACTGCACAAACAAACAAACAAAAAAAGAGGAGAAATAATTCATTTGGAGATATGAAGTCATGAAATAGCTGATGTGTATTGCTTTTAACCATGCACTGATGCAAAACTGAAGCAACCATTAATAATAAAAATTAAAAAGGACATATGTATTTACACACAATCAGACCTGTTTGATCTGAAGCAGTTTGCAGATTCTATCTGTGTGTGATTTGAAATAAAACAAAAAATGGGGATTAGCATGGCCACAGCACACCCTAATGTAGGAGGGCACACACGGACAGCTTTGGAACCCTGATCGCTGGATAAATTTGGCATGGCTACGCCTAATCCAAATATACACGCCCCTTTACACATACTGACTTTCTGATTCTTCTGCAATTCACTCTGCATGACTCCTCGTGCTCCCAATGGGGCGGCCCAGTGCTACCTCACCCACTTGGTCAACCTTCCTGACCTGGCAATGTGACTCAGTCCTGGCCGGCAGCACTCTCGGGGAGCTTGCCCTCTGTCAGCACCCATCCATTCTGACCCACAGTGCTCTTCTAAAATATCTCCTGCTTAAGCATGGTATCATTACGCATAGCCATAACATGTCTCTGCTTTCAAATTCCAGCTTCTTCAAAGGAAAATGCCGTTACCTTTAAGATCCTTTTGTTGTTGTTAAAGTCTGTTTTCCGTGACTCAAAGTCACCTCCCAGGGATTTGCTACTGCACTCCATCTAATTCACCACCTAATGCACTGCATGGCGCTGCCACATGACCACACGACTCTCTGCAGCTGGCCTTCCAACTAGACCAAAATGGAAGGGCTCTACATCTCACCCCTCCTGCACCTGACCTCCGGCTGCCGCTAATTCTATTAGCTTCATCTCACTCTGGCAGACTTTCCCGGCTTGATTTTAACCTAGCCTCTACCTGTATTATATTTGTTTTAGGTTTACATTAAAACAGGACTTTGGTGAGCATGTGATGTCAAGACACCTTCGTTCTACCTGGAAGACAATGACGTTATGTGACACTGAGGAGGAGGGTGTGTACTTCAAGACCAGCAGACAGAATGAGAGCTTGTTCCCTGTATGTGGGGCAGGTTGATACAGCAAGAGGGGGGTGTGGGTGTGTGGGGAGCGCGGGTACGGTGCTGAAAATCACCGCAGCAGAGAGAGGCTGGCTTGGGCTGAGTGCTGTGCCTCTGCGACTCATGTTGTTTGCCCCTACACACTTCTACCCTCCCTTCCCTCACCTCTGCCCCACTTCAGCTGAGAACCGCTGCTCTAGATTGCTTTCCTGTGAGGGCCTCCTAGGAGACAGAGTTCTTATGTGGCAACATGGCACCTTTGATTGAAAGTGAGTAACACAGATGTGAGTATACAAATTTATAATTGTTACGATCAGCTTGTTATCTCTCACTTGTTCCTTCTTAGAGAAATCATCTTTAATGAATTATATCTCTCAAACACTGCTATTCCACATCTCCCCAATGTTGTTCATTTCCAAGCTCTTGCTGATGCTACATAAATGAACTGAATTGTATAAAGCTATCCTAGCATCCAGCTATCAGCGGCAAACCTTCTAACAGTGCATTAGTATCCAAATGAACTCACTGAGTTGTTTTAAGATGAAAGGAAAGTGGGAGGGAAATACATGTTTCAATTTTAGAGTCCCAATATGTTTAGATTTTAAAGGCAACTTCTACCGTATGTAGTAGCACAGTCCAATTACCATTATGATTCTACTACAGGCCCAATTTGGGATTCAGGAGTCATCTTTGGACAGACTCTACTTCCTCCCTTTTCTCGTTTCTTTCAGAGTAGTAAGAAAATGTCCCCACCTGCTAAGACCTCCAAATAGAAAAGCCCATTTAAGCACATGTTCAATGTGATTGGCAGACTAAAAAAGGTGGCAGTGATGGGACAGTGCACTAACATGCCCGGGGCGGATATGTGGCAACGGGACAGGGGCACTTAATTTTGGAGGTAGTGCCCTCATGTATGAACTTGACTGTGTGCACTGCTGAGGTAGCAGGGCTTAGATCACACGCTCACAAGTCTTGATTATCCAAAAAAGCCTCTGTTCCCATCTCTAACGTGGAGCTGGAATGGTTAGTATAATTCAATTTTTTTTCACTGCAATCCACATCTGATTGATTGGCAGGTCACACTGGCACTCCTACCTGAGGTATTTTAGCGCTAATGATTGGTTCCTGTAAGACTATTCTATAACAGAACACAGGAAGAGCAGTTCAAAAAACACAGCTGTGGAAGGAAAACAATCATACAAAAAGCCCGCTAGGGGCCCACCAGCCTTTTCTTTCCTTTGGATGCAAGCATGCTTTTCACAGGGTGACAATTAAGGAGCAGTTTGTTACCCACTTAAGTGAAGTAGGGTGAACCATGCCTTTTCTATTGGTCAAAAAAGGAAGGGGGGGGGTGCGGATGGACACACAATCTATGTGCTTACCCCATGGGTCTATGGGGGGATCACTTTATAAATTACAGGCACAATCGCTACATCAGTTCTCCAGAGAAGAAAGTGCATAAAAGACACAGAAAGGAAGAAAATGACTAGCAAGGATTTCAGCCTAGGAGCAGATCAGAGAAAAGAGATTTTAAAAACCTCCACAATTAATAGCCTAAATTACTATAACAGAACAAAAGCAGCAACTTACACTCTTTTCATTCATGTCATCTCTCAAGTTCAAAGCCTGTTCTAATTAGCTAAACCCCCCACTCTTTCTATTTCTAGCCTGCCCTCTGAGGAAACAAGAACTAACCATACCACGGTAGATTTCCACAGATGGAAAATGCACAGAGAGAAGCAGAACAAACTCAAGGTAAAACGATAGGGCTTTCCTGTGTGTGTCTTTAAGACGCATCCTTTGCTCCCTCACATATGGAATAGGGAATATGAAGTTCTAAAAGCTAGAGCTATATTATACCTCACTCAACAGTTAGCTCATAAAGTATTCTTATTTTTCACTAGTGGATTGGGATATGATTTCAGCCTCAGTGACTAACTTTTTCCTCCAAGTAACTGCTTTAAGATAGGAAGTAAAAATGGTAATTAATACTAACTCTTTTCATCAACAAGAGGCCATGGGTCAAAAAAATATTTTGGTAAGGTCAGTGGATTACTTCTGTTTAGCTTGATACGGTAATCCAGCAAGTAGATAAACAAAACTCAAGGGTATTTTCTCAACTATAGAAACATCATCTCTCTCTTAATGAAATTGCATACTGTGAACTAATGAAATGAGAGAATTGTCAACAAAAAATTTTGGTTGATTGACTTAATAAGGTGGAAGTAGGCCATACTTAAAAAATCCCCAAATATGGAACATATTAGAGAGGGGGGAAAAAACTTGACTTAAGAAATAATTCATAAGGAAAAGTGTGCTCTAATAGAATAGATTTCAAGAAAACAACTTTAATAACATAAAGATGAGTTTCATGAGAATATGGACACTAATGTAAATGGGAGAGTGTACATGCTAAGGTTGTATGTAAAATGTGTACATATAGAAAAGTGTCATTTGGGGTAAAACTAGAAAATATTTCCTTAATTCTTAAGTTTCGCTGTCAGCAAGGAAAGAACATACCTTTCCATACCTCTTGAAAATCATCTGAGGAAATATGTGAATTTTGATTAAATACTGAGAGGTAATGAAATATGGATTAGTTGGGTTTTGTGCTTGGTTATATAATAACATATGTAATCTAGGGTGAGTCACAATCTCTCTGAGAGACATATCTTTGAAGTGAGAAAGTTGGGCCCGAAACATGGGTAAGGTTCCTTGAAGCATTTCTCAAATTAAAGAATACTCTGAAGGTCTACTCTACACAGGACAGGTGTATATAGTCACTTACAGTACCACGTAGGACCATTCCACCCTATCTCTACTTCCGGCTACACAGTCTCTACATGCATTCTGAAAGTGCACAAACATTTTTAGATTGCCAGAGAATCTTGGCAGATTGTGAAAATTAGTTCACTAAAAAGGCATTCTTAGTGATTTTGGGACGTAAGGGTGGAGACAGCATTTCCAGACAATTAAACCTTGGTCCAAGAAATAATTTCATGGTGACAAGTTTACCTTACAAAATTGTTTCTTAGTGATTTGGTGGTTAGACCAAGCTTGCGTTCAGAAAAAGGTCATTTGGGGAGGTCCCTGTAAAAGACTTCAAAACTCACAAACTTTGACTCTTTGTCAGATCACTTTGTTCATATTTTAAATAATATGCGACAAACCAATCAGAACATTAGCTATAGCTAGACAGACTAAGTACTGGGTTACATGTTAACATGGCTGGTAGAATCAACAAATCATGTATGACAGTCCAATGTTTGTAAGAGAAATCTAGGTTGCTAATTCTGCCACTTGTTTCCCTCTAGATGGCCCTTAAGAAAAGAGACCTACCAGTTGTAAACCTTCTAATATAGAAGGGCCTTCGGCAAGTGAATATCGGTTTCCTCTCCTTCCCACCCCTCTTCACTGGCATCAGTTCCTTCTTTTGCTTTCACATGTTAGTGCTCTCTCACAGTATGTAAAACAGGAAAAGACCAATTCAGAAAGCTCACTGCCATCTACATAAATCAAAGCTCTAATGATCTAAAGAGGATGTGAAATGAGAAAAGCAGAAAAGGAAAAGAGCTGGTTGAAGGCTAAGCTGTCCTGTCATTTATGTATGCACATGATACGACAGTAATAAAAGACTTTAAACCTGCTGATCATCTCGCAAATATGTTCGTGATCCATAGACCATCTGTGGGAAGAGGGAAGGGAAAAGAATATGTCCAGTAGACTGACTCCAGCAATGATCAGGAAACCCAAAGGCTTAGTTTGGCACCCAGGGGAAAGCGCAGTGGCAGAGAAGCATGCTTGCATTCTTAAATATATAAATATATATATCCACAAGGAAAAAGAAAACAAAAACTAAATAAATGATATTTTTTAAAAAAACCAAACAAACCAAACCAAAGAAACAGAAAAAAAAAGGCTGGCTTGTCAGGGGGTGGGGTCGAGAAGGCCCCAGTGTGTGTACTTACATAGAGGTCAGCACCGTAAAATCCGTCCTGGTAAACCACACTGCAGAAAATCCACACAAAAACAAAAACAAAAAAACAAAAGAACAGAAACACATTCCGGTTATTGAGGACGGCAGCATGCACATGCGCTTTACATGGGCAGGTGATGTATGAATACACGACCTGGGCTCAGGCCAAGGCCAGTCAGCGAGGACACAAGAAAGTGCACGCACGTTACTCAGCTCCAGGACATGCGAGGAGGAAAGGAATGCAGGCTTGGAATGAACCACCTGGATGTCTGCTTATTAAAAGTAAGATGAAAACAAGAAAGAGTATTCCCAGGGGGCCTAATACAGCTATTGAAAATCTGCTGGATTGGAAATATCAACTTTTCATATCTGGAGTGTTTTTTGTTTTTAATAAGCTTGCCCTAGGAGAAAGTTTTCTTTAAAGAGTGTCAAAAGGTGTGTGTGTGTGTGTGTGTGTGTGTGTATAGGTGGATGGGTGGGGGTATGGGGGCTGGCATGAAGAGAGGGGTTTAACATGAAAAAAATGAACCCAAAGAATTCCATTAAGGTGAGACCTAGGCTAAGGTATATTTCAAAATTATGCTTAGTATCTTGTTTTATTTTTGTAGTGATATGTAAATTTTTTCTGATATCCATACATCACCTGCTTTTTACCCTGCACATTAGACATGCGATAAGATTTGGCTGATCACACAAGCATGCAAAGTATTATTATTCAGCATTTTAAGAACCAATGCAACACCTCAGAAAAACAAGTCAATCAATTCTGACCAAAGTAAACAGAGAAATGTAATTAAAAAAAAAACCAAAACAAAAAAACACAACCAAAAATACCCACAATGCATTGCTTTCACAAGCAGAGATAATGAGCTAATAAAGGTTAAGGTGATTGGTCCAAGGTCCAAGAATTGAAAGGTGCAGTGGGGATCCCAGATAGTAACAATATAATCCAGAGTGGGAAGGAGTAACTAGAAGATTTTAAGGGTTCTTTTTTGACCATACGAATACTCATGGAATTCTGAAAAATTCAATTGTTAACTTAAGTTCTGGGCATGACCTGTTTTATTTAAAAGAATAAAACTGAAAAGGTAGCTGGTTAGGAGTAGAAGGGTTTATTTTCCTGTTTAGAAAATTAATTTGTATCAAACAAACAATGTACATGGCTCTCTTCTTGTTTTAATCCTAAGCAACATTAAAATTAAAATACAGATTTCAAACCTTTTGAGATATTTTGTGCATTTGTGCAAAACATTACTTTGGGACCAAGGGACATAGAATAGTGGTAGAGCTAAAAGAGAAGGCTTTCTTCTTCATATTTGTTAAATCAAGATTTGTCTATTTTAAATTAGATGTTTACTGTGTATTCAACTAAAATGGGAAAATTTCACTGCTACCTTCTCTGTTACAATAAACAAGTCAGCAAGTAAAATCATCACATATTTTTAACTTGAACATGAAATCACTTCCTCCTTATAGGTAGCAGGAAAGTTTCTGATTCTGCGTTCAGTAACATTTTGTTGTTTACAGGACAGCAGGGTGACATTCTGCAATGCCCCACATATGCTGTGCCTTTGTCTTACACAACAGGCAAGTTGAACTCATCTGTGATGTTCACTGAACTAAGTTTTATCCATTTTTAGAGTCTCCAATTGCAGCTAAAGAATGGTGTTAGAGAGTAATCTGCCTCTCAACTGCACTTTTGTAAAACGGAGACTTGTTCATAATGAGAATACTAATAAAATGCAAAGCATAGATGCCAAGTGGTGATTAGTTAACCTTCAACTATTTCAGTACGGGGAGACAGGCAAAGATTGAAAAACAATTCTTCTACAGAGAAGAGTGGTGGCATGAAAAACATGAATAAATTTTACACTAAGTTGTGTCACTTACTAGGAATATTCAGTTAAATTCTAGGAGAATTCCAATAGTCCCTGTATCAAATGCTACAGGAGGCTAGAACACAATGATTAATGATGAAATTAGTTTACCAAGCTGAGAAGCAATTTTAGGCCATTCCCCATAAAATACTGGACTTATTCCTTGCCATCTTCCATGTAAATAGGTGGTTTAGTTAATAAAAAAGAAAACATGGGACATTAGTGTTTAATGTAATGCACAGAAATTGATGTGATTAGACATAAAGATAAAATATCTTTGATCAAATATATACCTGACACAGGCTTGGTAGAGAATTGGTTCTCAAGTTTGGCCAATAGACTGAAATGACCTACATCGAATAGGAGTGAATTGAACCACTTTATAAAGTAACTCAGGAATATCACAAAATAAAGAAGTCCCATGTTTCTGTTGAGCAGTATCGCTCTGTGACCATGACGGTCAACTCTCTTGGACTGGAAGACACTTCATGAACAATTTTCCTAGTGTGTAGAGCTTCCAAAAGGTTTGTTTTTGTGTTTTAATTAAATATTTCTTGGTGAAACAATACTGCATCTTTATTTACTTCTGTAAAAAGAGATGTCAGAGGTTGAAGGTCAAAGGTCAAGTTGAGAGGTGGGGGGGGGAAGGGATAAAATTAAAAGTAATGGCAGAAGATGGAGATGATGGAATGCATGGGATTTAAACACCTACACACTGCAAACAGAAGTTTGTTTCTAAAGCAGTTCCCTTCTAGTGGCTTTGGAGCCTGCTCACTTCAACATGCGCACTTCTCTTATCCAATAAACATGTTCTAACTTGGTGGAATGGAGGGCCCTTAATGGCATGTCCATTTGGTCTGTGAATGAATGCTAAATTAGCACACCTGAAAGCCAATTTTGCCATAAGAAAAGGACCTACAAAGGAGGCTCTTTCTCTTAAATTTTAACTAAGTAGCAATAAATAGGGGCTTCTGCCACTATATTTATTCCTCCATAAGAATATGGGAAAAGCTATCACAGGCAGAGAAAAGGTGAAGAACACAAATGTCACGTCTCTGAGGAAGGAAAGCCCTTGATGCAACTACCCTATAAAAAGTCCACTGTAAAAATATACATGTTAGACTCACATGAGAACACCTACAAACAAAACCTGCATCTTCACTCCTTCTCCCCATTCAAGAACAAAGGATTTATTTGTTGCTATGGAATCAGTCCACTGCATGAGACACCCTCCATACAAAAATCAAAGGGTGAAGGATGCTCAGCTACATTAGTTGTTTTACCATCATTCAGAAGCCAACTGTAGTTTAATTCTTCCTACTTCTCCCTTTCTCCCTTGATTCAATTGGACTTGGTTCATCTTTGAATTAACCTTTTAATCCGTTTCCTACAAAGAAAGCAAATCCATTGTGGGTAACTAGCTCTGCTGCTCACCACCCAGGCAGTGAAACCAAAAGGGAGGGCACAGGTGACAGCCTCAGCCCCAGCCCAGGGTGGTGAAAGGTGGTGAACACAGCAGAGGCAGCTTATACTACAATCTTGAACTCCTATTTTGGTTCTCTGCAGTAGTGTTAATCCATATTCGTGCGATGCTGAGTGAACTCCATGCCAACACATTGCTAGTAAACACAAGACGGTTCTGGCTACTGTCTTAAGCCACTACCTTGAGGGCTTAAGGTGGCCAAAATGAAGATTTAAATAATGAATTGATATTTGTTATATTCTGATGATGGTATATTTTGGTTCTTGCCATCTAATTCGTTAATTTGTAAATAATCGTAGAATCTCTACTATGTGGCACGGCAACATCCCGGAAGTTATAAGAGGACTATGGTATTTTCTTGTCCAACTGTTTATTCTGGAATCTAATACTTACCCTGGATAGGCGGGAATGGCTGTTGGAGGTACCGCTCGCACTGCACCATACACCGTCCGCCCCCTGCCCCTCAGATGGGCTCCTCTGAAAGCGGCCGCCGTGGTGGCTGCAGTTGGGTAAGGAAATCCAGGAACTAAAGGGAGACCCAAAATATGACAGAAATGTCAACTTGCATTCAACAGTAGGAGTACAAGCACACTTGCTTTGAATCAATTACAGGAAAGATTAAAAAGTATGTACCACATCTTTTCTGAAAAAGAAAAGGGGAAGAGACCCAGGATGCAAAAGCTCACGGTAGCACGCCTCTGTGATCATAAATCTTGAGTGAGCTTTCTTCACTCCTTTCCAATGCAGGCTGGTGAGAAGCAGGTTAAGCAGCTCCAAGAGCTACCACCACAGTAAGAAAGGACACTTTCCATTTCTGTGGGCAGTTTAAATGGACTGATATAAACTCTTTAACTGGCCAATTATTAGTCATGCTTCTAACATTATTATGTGCATATCAAAATTACTCATGGGAATATTCTTTTGTGTTTTTACATGGTGCGAAACTCCAAGGCACACAATAGTCTTCAGGTATTTCATCTCATTAGTCAACTTTATTCCTTTATCTAAAATATTTTAATCCAGAAATGGAAGGTGAGAGGGAAGCTACATCTCCCCTGTGGTCTTGTATCCTGTAGAGGCAGTCATTGTCTGAGGTCTGTTGTAAGTGTGCTCTCTCTGGAAGGCACGCAGACATTGATTTCATGTCTACCGAACTGTTAATTCTACCACTTGCTGGAGCAAAATGACTCAAGTCAAAGTAACTTTGAGATATCAACAGTTGAGAATAATCAATAATCCAAGGGGTGCTTTTAAGTGATACTCTGCCAGAGGGCCCAAAGCTGACTTGTAGAGAATATGTATAATATATCCCACAAGTACTTATTTCTTTTGTTTTCTACATATCAAGTACATACTAAAATGTTCTTTACATGCCCTCATCCTCTCTGCCTTTCCAACTACTTGTACTCTGTGGCAATCTTCATGATTTGGTCAAAAGGATTCTAGCACAGGCTAAGTAGGACAAGGCACCATGACAGTATTATCGCTCCTAAGAACGTCTCCTTTTCAGTTATGTATTACTAGAGGCCTGGTGCACAAAATTTGTGCACTCTGGGGTGTGGTGGCAGGCCCTCAGCCTTCCCTCTGGCAATCTGGGAGCCCTTGGGGAAGGTCCGACTGCCGGCTTAGGTGGGGAGCAGGCCTAAGCCAGCAGTCTGACATCCTTAGCGCTGCCATGGAAGCAGGGAAGGCTCCCATCACCACTGCTGTGCTAGCCAGCAGTGAACACGAATTCTGGCTGAGCAGCACTCTCTGTGGGAGCGCACTGACCACCAGGGGGCAGCTCTTGCGCTGAGCGTCTGCCCCCTGGTCATCAGTGCGCCATAGCCACCGGTCTTTCAGCTGTTCGGTCAATTTGCATATATTAGCCTTTTATTATATAGGATACTGGCGGCTGGGGGGGGGGGCTAGCGTGTGAAGCGGGGGAAACTTCTAGCTCATCATTGCATACTCAACAATCAAAATCCATGCCAGGCCAACATAGGCTACTTACTGATTAAAGGAATGTAAGTGTTAATACCCCCTCTTCCTGATAGGGGCACTGCCGCTTCGTTGCCCAGGGACACATCTGCTTGAAAGCTGGATGCTGATTGTATTAAAAAAAAATTAAAAAATGCAAAAAGGATTACAAAGGAATAGTGAATTGCAAAACAACAGACGTTGTTAGTTAAATAGCACACGCAGAAAAATCAAGGTAAATACTACCTGCATATAACTCGGGGCCATATACAGCTCCAACTACTGGGCTTAATTTCCAACCTGAAATGGAAGAGAGGACGGTGAGCATTTAAGACGGCGTGAGGATATAGGGAAACAGAGTGATGTGCAAGTTGGCTCAGACATCTCTGGGTTTCTTTTTGTCCATTCACAACTTTCCTTTCGAATGCCAACTGGGGTTTATATGAAAGAGTGATGACATTTCTACACCTGATTATCTTCAAGTAGGACTGTGATGGGATAATGAGCAGTGTGTGTGCGTGTGTGTGTGTGTGGGGGGGGGTGGTGAGAGGGAGAGGGAAGAGATAAAAGGAAGGAGAGAAAAAAATTGGGAGGGAGGGAGGAAAATGGAAAGGGAATAAGAGAAGGAAAAAGAAAATTAAAAAAATCTTGGCATTCGGTACAGTGTCTGACAGAATTGCCTAACAACCTATTCTTTGTTTAAGAAAAGGAAAAAGGCAGAATATAGTACGTGTCATTCTATATCACACTTTTTTATGTATCCTCTTAACACTATTTATTACTCTAGTTGTTATATAAAGGTGCCTTTTGACTGAATTCAAATTTGACCTGGATATTTGCATTCCATGTTCGATTATACCATGCTGATAGGATTTTGGGTAAACTAAAATCTCCTTTCACTGAGATTTACCATTGGGATTTCATTGGAGTTAACCAAGTCAACAAGGAGAAACACTCAATAATAAAATTGAAGCTACATTCCCAACTTCAATGCATGTCCTGAGATTTTAATTTGTAATGAATACATTTAAGTTCATCAGACTTTTAAAAGTTAATAGACTGGAAAAACCAAGATGGCAGCATAGGTAAACACGGGAGATTGCTGCTTAGCACAACCACTTAAAGAATACAACTAAAAGATGGAACGGACATCATCCAGAACCACAGGAAGGCTGGCTGAGTGGAAATTCTACAACTAGAAGGAAAGAGAAAAGCATACCGAGACTCAGAGGAGGTGCGGTGCGGAAGTAAAGTACAGAAGTACTGAGGTGCACGCGGAAAGGGCTGGCAGCTGAGGACACGGTTGTCTTTTTCAATTAGTAGAGAGTCTCAAGCTCTGAGCTCCAGTTCTGGGCGAGTCTCTGGGGACCCAGACTCACATGGGAGAAACTGGACTGCCTGGCAGGGGTCGGAACTCGAGGGCAGCTTTCTCTCGGAGGTGCTTGCAGCGATTGCCGGGACACTGAGAAGCGGGGCCTCTGAAGGCAGCCATAGCTGCTTGCTCCACCCTGATGATCCCCTGGGACCCCCGCCTGCCCAAGCTGTGCACCGGCTTTTGCATATGAAAGGCCTGGCCCTTTGCAATCTGAAAATTACCTAACAAACTTGCACCTGTCCCAAGGCCCCATGGCAACTTGCATTGCTTCACAGCTGAGCTCCTGCTGGGTAGCCTCGGGCAGAGGCTAGATTAGCACCTCCTTAGAGATCCAGGAGCCAGTGTGCCCAGTGGTCAGAGTGGGACCATCCAGATTGCAGCTCCTTCGGTTCATAAAGGACACCCTCAGGGGGGCAGAC